AGGACAATTTCTGGCTGCCATCACCCCCGAGAGAGGGACATAGGAAGAGCGTGGGTCTCGAGCTCAGTGCATCTGGTTGTACCCACCACAAACTTGAATCATCTGCTCTTTTGAATAGCCCACATGCCTGCTACACCCCGGATTTGGCTGGAACTCGATTGAAGATTTGAATATCATCTTTAGCAACTGAATCAATCGCTGCACAAAAGGGGCAAATTTCATTTTCTATTTTTTAAATCAAGGTCTAAATAAAAAAGTTTTCTGGCTGAGGTGAAATAGTCACATGGTTCAAAATTCACAAAGCACAGAAGGGGTAGACCATGAAAAATCTCCCTCCCACCTTTTTCTCCCAGCCAAGTTCCTCCCACTCCACTACGGTGACGGTGACTGTTTCCTGTGTCCCAAAAGAGATATTCGATGTGTGTCAAAGCAAAGCATAGTCTCATTATTCTTCTCCCTGCTTTATACTATTCTCATTGTTCTGCATATGGCTGTTGTTAGCAAGAGTAACAGTTGCTCTTGGTGCCCGGCGCACATCCCAGTGGCGTTTGTCATTTCTGTGTCCACTGGCCTGGCTTCCCACTGCCAGCAACCGAGGGCTCTCTGTGGCATCTCAGCCCACATGTGCCCTGCGAGCAGCCCTCAAGCAATACTGATGGGAGGGGGATCAATATCGCAGCTCCCTTGCCCCTTGAGTGGAAAAACAGACACACATTTGATGCTGCTCCCAGATGCACCCCCCCCCCCAGGACTGAGCCCAGCTGCCTGCAGGGTCGCCCTTTCCCCCTGTCCCCTCCAGGTCCCTCTTGGGATCCCCTCTCAAATAAACGGTGAGCATTATTATAAATGAACCACCCTCCTACTGATGCTTACAATCTTTTGCACACCTCGGTGTATACTATACACCCTTCTGCACCCGAGCAAGCAAATCCTTGGATGATTCCTAGGGATGGGATAGCTGGGTCAAAGCATCCATGCTTTGTCATTTTGACGGATTTGGCTAAATAGCCCTCTGTCTCTGACACATTTCAAAACCCCAACAGCTTTTGCAGCTTTGCCCATTACTTCTTAACACCTCACCACCAAAAATGCAAGGGAGATGGTGAATGAAATTAACTCGGCAAGTCTCTTAAGGCCTTCGAGGGGACGGCGGAGGTTTTTGGCTCTCCACCCCATTTCTGGAGACCCCATCTCCAGCCCCAGGGACCCACGGGCCAGGTGTATCACCACGTGGGCGGCTCCCGGGGGGAGGGGCGTTGCTTCTCACGATTTCGATTTCTTTCTAATCTAATGTGGAGTGGGAGCAACAGCATAGTACTTACAATGTGGAATAAGGCAAGGACCACTGTGGTGACTATGATTTCGGCGATGAGGATGATAACCGTGGACAGGAAACACTGGAAGACACAGAGGGGTCGGAGGGGGCTGGGAGCCTGCTCAGCCGTGTCCCTGCAGGGGTGGGGACTATCCCTCCAACCCCCGGGCCATGGGACCTCTTCAGTTTGAAAGAACTCAGCCTTGGGTGGGGTGTAGGGCTTCTTTCTTTCACGTGGCGTTTTCTTGCATGTCATCCAGGATGTTGGCACTGAGGTATTCTTGGAGCCACTAGCTGGAGCCCAGCACTTTCTGAGCACCAGGGAGACCTGTGAGGGGACCTCCAGGTCAGTAAAGGCTCTGTGCATCGACAGACAGCAGGAGCCTGTGGGGAATCAGGAGGGATGGTGGGAAGGACAGAACACAGAACGGAGGCAGGAGGAGGGGAGGAGAAGCAGGCTGAGAACTCTTGCAAATGGGGGGGGGGAGGGGGCTGTAGGGAAGATGCAGGGTGATAGGTCGGTGGCTGCAGGGTTGGTGGTAGTGGTGGGGGGCTTATGTTTGCTGGCCTATGCTGGCCTCTGTGGCTGAGATGCCACAGACAGCCCTTGGCCTTGTGACAAAATTCACAAGCCCAATGGAAAACGATGAGAAAGACAGCAAGCAGAGGGGATGTCTTGAAGTCACCCATCAAGGAGAAACTGCTTGGGCGCCTGGGTGGCTCAGATGGTTAAGCGTCTGCCTTCGGCTCAGGTCATGATCCCAGGGTCCTGGGATCGAGTCCCGCATCGGGCTTCCCGCTCCTTGGGAGCCTGCTTCTCCCTCTGTTTCTCTCTGTCTCTCATGAATAAATAAATAAAATAAAAAAAAATAAAAAAAATAAAAGGAAGAAACTGCTGCTCAGTCTAGGCCTCAGTTTCCCCATAGATACAATGTGGGCATGGGACCAGCTCAAGGGGTGCTGTAAGTTCTGGAGAGCTTCTGGAAGCCAGATGGGGGCAAAGTAGGTCAGCTCCTGGCTCTCCTTTCATCTATTTGATTATGATTACTAAAATCTGTTTGCTAATTGAGGCTTTGAGTTGCCAGACTGGCCCATGGCTGGGCTTATCTAGTCCTGATATGGAAAGTCAGGAAAACGCAGTGGATACACACCCAGGGACCCCAGAACCCACAAGGACAAACATGGGAGCAGGGATTAGTGGTTGTGGGACCCCGGACAAGTGGTTCATGTAACGGATTGTGAGGATTAATATTAATATTACTACCTCCCTGCCTCTGGGTGACTGAGGTGGCTGGAGGATAGATATCCAGGCGTCCGTACGTCCTACAGTTTCCATCTTCAGAATCTATCCCTAATCTGCCCACTTCTCCTCCCCTCCACAGCCTCACCCGGCCCAGCCCCCGCTGTCTCCCACCCGGACCAGCACAGTCCCTTCACCCTGGTCTCGCAGTCAGGCCCTCGCCCCCACCCTCTGTTCCCCTAATGACCACGAGAGGGCGCTTGTGAGCACCTGAGTCAGGGCACATCCTTCCTCTGCTCAGAATCCTCTGTGGCTCCCAACACCATAAAAAACGATTTTGCTTTTCTGAGTGAGGTCTCAGAGGCTTTGGAGGGACAGACGCGAAGGGTAAAGTTAATCTGATTTGCTGATGGGTTGGATGTAGGGTGTGAGGGCTCTTTGATTCCTCCAAGCTAAGCTATGAATAAAATAGCATATACATCATACTGAAAATAAAATGGACTATTTCAGGAACAGGACCTGTCCAATAAATATTTGCTGAATGTAGTAATCAAGAAAGAAAACGAGATAATAGAGTTTCAGGGAGGAGGAGGGTGGGGGCGGGGTGCTTTTTGACAATGGAGATTGTTTATGCTCTGAAAGATGACCCTACTAAGGATCTCCCTGAAACCCCCATATTGAAATAACCAGAGTTTTGCAACAACACAGCGAAGGAAGGAAAACAAAAAATGCTGGAGACAAATTTTACCTAAGGTGGGATAATCCACTCAGACAAGATTCTAAGGGAAATGGGAGTGGGGAAGATGGGAGCTGGCCTTTGGGGAGTTGGCCAAGGCTATATGTGAGAATGAGCAAGACATGTAAAATCTACAACATGCTGTCTGCATGATCATGCTTAAAACTTTCCTACCTCATGTACTCGAACATGTACTTGTGCAGACATGAGGATAACAACTGTATTGTGGTTAGTGGGAACATACACATGGGCTGATGGAACAGAGCAGTGTGCCCAGGAAAGACCCAGGCATAATGGCAATTAGTGTAGGCAGAAGAGGACTGACCCCTACCTCACACCACACACACCTAATCCAACTGCAAAAGCCAAAGAGCTAAAAGTGAGAAATCAAGAACTTAAAATGATGGGAAGAAAACCTAGGAGACTAGAATGTATGGCCTGGGGTAGGAGAGGAGTTCTAACGGAGATATATCATAAAGGAAAAGATGGATGCATCTCATGCCATCATATGAGACACCATAAACACTGAAAAATAGGGGATGCTGATGGCAGGGGTTTGTAAAATGCGCAAGGAAGGATTCACATGGTGGTGGGGTGGGAGTTTTGGGGGATGTATGCAGATCCAACTTACAAACAAGAGAGTACCAGGGCGCCTGGGTGGCTCAGTTGGTTAGGCGACTGCCTTCGGCTCAGGTCATGATCCTGGAGTCCCTGGATCGAGTCCCGCATCGGGCTTCCTGCTCGGCAGGGAGTCTGCTTCATCCTCTGACCCTATCCCCTCTCAGGTGTTCTCTCTCTCTCATTCTCTCTCTCTCAAATGAATAAAAATAAAATCTTTAAAAAAAAAAAAAACAAGAGAGTACCTCTGCTTTCTTTGGTTGCTCCATACCACCCAGCAAAGCTGAGCAGCACTGAGATGCAGCCCATTGCCAGGCACAGGTAGCCAATGTAAAGGAGATATGCAGAGGCCAGCCCAAGGACCCTTATCAGGACAGCCCCTCTGAACTTGACATAGATGCTCAGGCCAATGGGGATCACACCACACATCTTTAGGACAGAAATCAGACAGGAAAAAAAGTCTGTTAGTTGTATACAAATAGAACTCTCGCTGGGGGTGGGAATGGGGGTGGGAGGGGAAGAGCAAAGGCAAATAAAATCAGCAAAAACATTAAAAAATGTTAATACCCAGAGTTAGTGAGGATGTGGAGAGACATTCTCACATATTGTTGCCAGGCAACAAGCTTTTTTGAGGGGGACGGTGTGCAGAAGGACACTTTGCAATTCATATTTAAAATCTTTTTTTTTAAAGATTTTTTTATTTATTCATTTGAGACACAGAGATACAGAGAGAGAGAGAGAGAGCATGAGCAGGGAAAGAGGCAGAGAGAGAGGGAGAAGCAGGCTCCCCGCTGAGCAGGAAGCCTGATGCGGGGCTCGATCCCAGGACGCTGGGATCATGACCTGAGCCGAAGGCAGATGTTTAACCATCTGAGCCACCCAGGCGCCCCCATATTTAAAATCTTAAAGGTTTTACAGTAAAACCCTTTACCTAGAAATTACATTTGTAGTTATTCAGCCTAATATCTGATATCCTAATAGACATGCACATACATACCTCAGTATCAGAATGCTCAGGGATGAAACTACCTGAAGCAATCAATAATACAGATTGGGTAGGTAAATCATGGGACAGCCATGCAATGGGACTCTAGACAGTTCTTTTAAATAATGCTCTAGGACAAGGGTTGGCAATTTTTGTGTATGTGAAAAGCCCCAGATATTGTGAGCTTTGTTAGGCCATAAGGCCCCTGCTGAAACAATTCAGCTCTGTCAGTGTAGCTTAAAAGCAGCCATGTGCAATTCATAAACAAATATATTTTATTTACAAATAAATAATATCTATTTATCTATCTATTTACAAGGCTGTAGTTGGCTGATCCTTATTGTAGGAGGAGAATGTTTATTGATATGGCAGTCATGTTCTTTGGTATTTATACAACTGAGCTGAAAACTAATGTTTTCTGCACATGGATGTTTCTAGAAGCTCATAGTTGCCAAAACTTGAAAGCAACCAAGATAGCCTTCAGCAGGTGAATGGATAAACTGTGGGACATTCAATGGAAGATTAGCACTAAAAAAAAATGAGCCATTAAGCCATGAAAAGATATGAAGGAAACTCGCAATCATATTGCTGAGTGAAAGAAGCCAATTTGAAAAGGCTACACAGTGTATGATTCCAAGTATATGTCATCCTGTAAAAGGCAAAACTATGGAGACAGTAGAAGGACCAGTGGTCGCCAGGGGTTAGTGGGGAGGTAGAGAAGACAGGTGGAGCACAGAGATTTTTAGGGCGGTGAAATTACTTCGTATAATAATCCTAAAATGGTGGATACATTGTCAAAAGCCTAGAATGTACAATACCAAGAGTGAACCCTAATGTAAACTATGCATTCTGGGTGATGATAATGTCCATGTAAGTTCATCAATTGTAGCAAATATACTGCTCCGGTGGGAATGTTCTGATGAGGAAGGCTGTGTGTGTGTGGAGCAGGGGTATATGGGAAATCTCAGTACCTTCTGCTCAACTTTGCTGTGAACCTAAAACTGCTCTAAAAAATAAAGTCTATCCGGGGCGCCTGGGTGGCTCAGATGGTTAAGCGTCTGCCTTTGGCTCAGGTCACGATCCCAGGGTCCTGGGATCGAGCCCCACATCGGGTTCCCTGCTCTGCGGGAAGCCTGCTTCTCCCTCTCCCACTCCCCCTGCTTGTGTTCCCTCTGTCGCTCTGTCTCTGTCGAATGAATAAATAAAATCTTTCCAATTTTAGGGGCGCCTGGGTGGCTCAGTTGGTTAAGCGACTGCCTTCGGCTCAGGTCACGATCCCGGGGTCCTGGGATCGAGCCCCACATCGGGCTCCCTGCTCGGCAGGAAGCCTGCTTCTCCCTCTCCTGCTCCCCCTGCTTGTATTCCTTCTCTTGCTGTGTCTCTCTCCGTCAAATAAATAAATAAAATCTTTAAAAAAAAATAATAAAGTCTATCCAAAAGGAGCGGAAATTACATTTTTAAAAAGGGGGAAAGTGGATTGTAAAGCAATAGTTTTTCTATGTTTGTTTTGCTGTTTTTAAAAGGTAAACAGGAAAATCTGGAAGGATATAAAAATGGGGATGGTATTTATTGAGCAATGTTCCCATGATAGGTATAAGCTCTTTAAATGTTCTGTATCATTTAATTTCCATGAAAATGTTACAACACAGATAACAAGATGAGGAGTGATATTTAATATCCTTCTTTTTCCTGGCAACCTTTTCTTAATGTCATTCGGCTATCAAAACAATTGCTTATTTTTTTATTTTTATTTTTTAAAAGATTTTATTTATTTATTTGATAGAGAGACAGCGAGGGAGAGGGCACAAACAGGGGGAGTGGGAGAGGGAGAAGAAGGTTTCCCGCTGAGCAGGGAGCCCGATGCGGGGCTGGATCCCAGGACGCTGGGATTATGACCTGAGCTGAAGGCAGACGTTTAACCATCTGAGCCACCCAGGCGCCCCCAAATAAAATCTTTTAAAAAGAAAAAAAAGAGATTTATTTTATTTTGAGAGAGGGGGAGGGGCAGAGGGAGAGAAAGAGAATCCCAGGCAGACTCTGCACTGAGCCCAAGGGGGGGGTGGGGGGGCTCAATCTCACCACCTGGAGATCAAGCCAAAGCCAAGAGTTGGCTGCTTAACCGACTGCGCCACCCAGGCGCCCCAAAACAATTGCTTCTTAAAGATGCACATTTTGGGTCACTTTTATAGTAAGAAAAAAAAGTGTTTTGAAGAATTTAAAGGACCCAGAAAAATAACCACTCCCTTTTATCCTTCCCAAACAACTTAGTGTTCTGCAGGATTTGACTTAGAGTCAAGCTCTTCCGCCACCAACCCGGGCCCCAACCCCCCCTCCTCCCCAGCCCCCCCATCACAGCCTCTGTGCTTGATTTCACCTACTCTGAGTCGATAGAGCCTACACCTGTTCCCAATGTGTCCTCCTCCTCGTCAGTCTGCCCTACATCCTTCCTGCTTCCCTGGGGACGACCGATCTGGATGCCAGTGAATTTGGATCAACTTATTTCTGTCTTTGAGGGAACCAGCTATGGAGGAAGGGCTGCAAAGCCCCAGGGCCTGGGTGGTGACATACTTCCAACCACGAAGCCATTGAAGAAAGATAACAGTCTTTTCAGGGAAGAATACGGAGTGTGCATTTCATCCATGTCGGCCGGACTGGGGTGCTCTGGACGTTTTAGTCAGCATCTTCCTAAATAAACTTCAGGGCTACTGTTTCCCCAGATGGTATAGGTCTAGGGTCGGGGGCACCAAGGCTGACTTGCCCCTCTCTCTCCTGGCTGTCTGATATCTGCCAGGGAGGGGCCCCAGCAGCCACCCCTCCTCAATCATAAGCCTCCATCACATCACAATCAGATGCCGGAGCAAGGCTCCCCATGCCCAGGAAGCAGGTGCCCCGAGCTACCCCTGCTGGCGCCTCATCCTCCAAATAGGCTGCACCAGGGGTGGAGAGAAGGCATGACGTCCTGCCCTGGTACACCCCCAGATGCCACCTGGGCCTTCTGGGCATAGTGTTCAGCACTGACCGCTCTGGCCCTGCTAGACTGGGAGCTCCGAGTGGGCATGGTCCTGGGCTGTCCTCGTCCTGTTCCCAAAGCCTGGCACACAGTAGGTGCTCAAGAAACCAATGTGGAATGAATGAATGAAGAAGCTCCAGGAAGCAGGATCTAGCTACAAGCCATCAGGTCCCCCAAGCCTCTGCCTCCACATTAGCTCATTTGACTCATCCTCATCCTTCTCACAGGGCTCAGAGGCCAAGGTAACTGCCCAGGGTGACACAGGAAGCACGGTCGAGGCTGGGCTTTGAAGCTCCAAGAGTGACGTGAAGGTGGGAACCTCTGACAGCCCTCCACCCTCCCCACTCCACCCCACTCCCACTCCCACCAAAACCTTTTCTTTCTCCCTCTGAGGTCTGCTCAGCCATAGCAGGTGAAGGAATTTTCCTTGAGCCCATGTGCCACTGATCAGCAGGCTTTGATGAGACGGGCATAGCAGGCATTTCAGAGCAAAAATTGTGCACGAGGGCATAGAGACCCCCCCCACACACACATTTGAATTAATTTAAGGAATGTTTGTCAAATTGCTTCTTGAAACATGTGGAACTAAAAATGTTCACATAGGAGTGACCATCTACTCCCTGGACTGCGGGTCACATTCACATCCAGGAGTGTATCCTTCCATGACTTTCTCCAAAAGGTCATTTGAAGTAAGGAGCCTAAGAGCCAGGGGCAGAGGGCCTCACAATGGGGAAGCACAGGAGGGTGAGAAAATGGGGGTGCAAGGGAGCATGGGAAAATGCAGGGATGCCAATAAGGGCGTGAAATTGTGGGCAAAGGTGGACAGGAGAGTGTTGGCGCAAGGGAGGACGGGGGAGGTGTGGCTCAGAGAGGGCGGGAAAATGAAGGCAAACAAGGGCAGGGAGGATGGGAGGCCCAGTGGAGGCTGAAGGAGAGCACACCCCATGATGGCCAGAGGACCTCAGGACCCTTTGACTGAGGCGTGAGGTACCTCCTCCAAGCCCCGCCCCCGCAGCAGCCCCGCCCCGCGGCAGCCCCGCCCCCGTCCCGGCTTCTCTGCGGGGACCAGGCACGGGTCTCGGCCTCTCGCACCCCCTGGCGGCCATCAGTGGAAGCGCGGCCCTACGTGGGCCCCTATTCGAGTTTCCCAGCCAGCCAAGGCCAACTGAGCCTCGGTGCCCGGGACGGCCGCTCTGACCGTCAGTGGGAGGAAATGGAGTGGGTCTGTGACGCAGCCTCCAAATCCCCCTAACCCACACCAACTGAATCGGTGCGAAGAAATAGAATTGTGCAGGCATCTGGCGAATTACAAATGTCAGATATTTGCCCCCCCCCCCCCAAATAGAGAAAACTAGTGCAATCTATCAGTAATAGTTCAGAGGTTCTAGAAAACAGTGAAAAGCCGCTCTTGAAGGGAAGCTACAGAGCCATTAGGAAAACATTTAAATATTATTGTAGAAATAGGAGAACTACTCCAATATTTGCCTAATAATAGAGCTTAGGGCGTGTTAAGATAGTCCTAATTCATTTCTCCCCTGCCTGGTCTCCTTCCTTATATTTTAGAAGATGTGTGGTGGGTTGTTTTTAAGATTTTATTTATTTATTTGAGAGAGAAGGAGAGAGCATGAGTGGGGGGAGGGTTAGAGGGAGAGGGACCAGGAGACTCCCTGCTGAGCAGAGAGCAGGACTTGGGGCATGATCCCAAGACCCTGAGATCATCACCTGAACCGAAGTGAGACACCTAATCAACTGAACCATTCACGGGCTCCTCTTAATCATTCTGGTAAAGACACCAGTCATGTTGGATCAGGGTCCATCCACAGGGACATCGTTTTACCTTCATTTATCAATATTGGTCCATCAGTTGTAACAAATTGATCACAAATGCAAGATGTTAATAATAGGGCAAGCTGTAGGTGGAAGGGAGAGGAGATATATGGTAACTCTCTGTACTTTACATTCAATTCTTCAAGCCTAAAACTTAAAAAAAAAAAACTCTATTAATTAAAAAAAAAAAAGAAGGGGTGCCAGGGTAGCTCAGTCAGTTAAATGTCTCACTCGTGATTTTGGCTTGGTTCATGATCTCATGGGTCGTGAGATCGAGCCCTGCACCTGGATCCATGCTCAGCAGGGAGTCTGCTTGGGATTCTCTCTCTCCTTCTCCCTCTGCCCCTATCCCCCAAAATAAATAAATAAATAAATAAATAATATTTTTTAAAAAAGAAAACACTGGTGGTGGCATCTGTTTTTTGCTCCAAACTCATTTGCACAATCTGACATTTATTTTTTTAAGTCTTTTTTAAAATGAGGAAATAGAACACAAATGCAGAAAACTATGTAAAACACATATGCCTGCTAAATGCGACAAATGAATCACGACAAAGCAAACAACACTGCAAGCATGTTTTGTAACTTTACGTAAAAAATATAGTGCCATAGGTGTGATTTTTATAACTTGCTGGGAAGGCAATGTGGTATGTTCCTTAAGAACATGGAAATCTCAGGGTACCTGGGTGGCTCAGTCGGTTAAGCATCCGACTCTTGATTTTGGCTCCTGTCAGGTATCAGGGTCAGGAGATGGAGCCCCGTGTTGCACTCCGTGCTTAGCAGAGAGTCTGCTTGAGATTCTCTCCCCCTGCTGCCCCCCATCATGATCCCAGGGTCCTGGGATCCAGCCTCATGTGGAGCCCCATGCTCAGCGGGGAGTCTGCTTCTCCTTCACCCTCTGCCCCTCCCCCCGCTAGTGCTTGCTCTCTCGCTCAAATAAATAAATAAAATCTTTTAAGAAGGACATGGAAATCTCTTCTCTGCTATTTATTCACTGGGGGGCCCAGGGTTGTTTTGAGATAAATGAAATAATAAATCCCCATTTTACAGGTGGATAAACTGAGGCATGAAAGTTAAAACACCTGGCCGACGTCACAGATAGAAGATGGTGAAACTCAGACTTTGATCCCAGGGTCTCAGTCTTAATCACCACATCGATGTTTTGGTTGCAGGACAGCTGTCCAGCTCTCTGCCCATGAGTATATATACATAGTCTTTCTTATGTTAAAATATAGAATCCATCACAGCCTTGGAAATTCAATGGTGTGGGAAAACTATCCCAACACAGCAGATTCCAAGCTGGGTTTTCAGAACAATCATAACTTTTGAAAAAGCAGAGCAGATACCTATTCTGTAGAGAAAAATGACCAGAATGAAAGCCATAAAAACACCAGTGTTGGTGAGCTTTTGAGCAACTTGGGGCTCAACCCCACAACCCTGAGATCAAGACCTGAGCCAAAACCAAGGGTTGGTCACTTGACTGACTGCACCACCCAGGTGCCCCAGGAAAAAACTGTTTTTAAGAAAATGGAGGGATGCTGTGATTGTAAAAGGAGAACCCAGAGGACCCAAGGACATGTGCCCCGGCTGAATGACAGGTGCTGTCTTCAACCAGGACCTCTGCATGCTTGAAAGGGTTTTCTTGCCATCTCAGCTGATGCTCCTTGCTGAGTCTGGTGGGGATTTCGTGATATCGGAAACCACGACCTCATCTTTGACCACAGGAATGAGAGAGAATGTTCAGAAACAAACACAAAACAAACAAACAAACAAAAAAACCCAGCTCTGGCCCGAAACTTCTCCATGATCTCAGGGATCCTGGAAAACAATCCCACCCAGTGTTGGAATTCCCTCTGCAGGCTGCATGCCAACTGTTTTTCTGTTGTTCTCTCT